GTACGATTTGAATATTTAGTCTAAACGATATTATACAGTAGTGAATATTACATATACCAGATCTGTAGAGAGTATAAAAGAAACCATCGTTACATATAATATCTTATTGAATCGACTGTAGAACTAACGTGGTAGATTAATTCTAGACATTAAATATCATTTGATCTTCAGCTCGAAAAAAAACCTTAGTAATATTGTCGTTTGACTTACAAATTTCGAAAAAATCATAAAAAAAGTGTTATATAAGGATTACTTTCTTTTATCTTTTGAGTTAAATTAAAGTACTATGTGCTAATTTTTTTGAAACTTTCTTACGTGCATCTTATGCAGTTTTTCTCGCTCTATCGAATCCATAAAAAATTATGGTCGGCCCGAATACTTTTTGATATTTTTTTTTCATCGAAATACTAAAACGCTGCAAAAAAATTTCAAAATTTTTGTGTCGTTTTTCATATATTTACCCGCCATAGACATGTTTGAAAGGCATTTGAGAAAAATCTAAATATACAGTTTTGTAGAGCGAAACTTGCTCTATCTTTTGAGATATAGTTCAATTTAAATTGATTGACTTTTAGAAAAAAAAATAATCACAAACTGGAAACAGAAAAAGTATTATCATTATTTTACAACTTTATGAACACACTTTCAATGTTGCTTTCATAGTTATCTAAGAGTCCGTCAGAGATGGCTAAAATTTTGGATTTATTGGTTTTTTTACATGCTCTTTCATTTGCGATCATAAAAAACGGGGGTCAATTTTTTTCGTATGACGGCTTACTATGAAAATGCTCGATTCAGTCGTGGACCGTCTCTTAAATCTGGCTCCAACAAGAAAAACTTATTTGAAAAACAAAGTCAACAGTTTTGTACAGCTTGAAATTTTCAATCTTTTGGTATATAAATGAATATCATTTATTAACAGAAAGTGAGAGAAAAAGACACCAAGATTCAGTGCAATTTATTTTGGCCCACCAATTAATATTGAATAAAAATTAATATTTATTAAGATTTTAATCCTGTTTTATATATTTAACTGGGAATTTAGTGGTTAATATGCTCTTCACCGAAATTCGGTAATCTGAATTTCTCCGGACTGTTATTGTGACGATCTTCATTTCGATGACCGAGTCTATCGGCAATACGCTGAGATTCTACTTGCAGTATATGTATATATGATAAATATTCAGAAAGAGTGAAAGTAAGGAATTATCGTCGAAACGAAACTGACGAACATAGATAAATGAAAAGCTTTCAGCGACCTTGATATCGATGAGTTTGATTTTTGTGATGTTCATTTCGGTGACGAAGTACATAAACATCCACAAGAATGATTTTTTGTTAAGATATTAATTTTACTACAACTGTATTATTGATATAATAAATGTTTGACTAACAAAAAAGAAAAGATGATCTCACTTAAAATTGCTATTTCTAATGATTATCAGATTAAGATGAAAATTTGTGCACTTAATCGCAGTTGTTGTGAAGGTTAAAAAGACAGAAACTCATGATCATATGTCACAATGAAAACAAGATTATCGTTATCTTATATTGTTTCACATTTCTATCATTATTATCGTTACATAAGACTCAGAAGATATTCTTCTGAATAAAGCAAGTATATACGAACAAAAACAATAAAGGATGAAATTAGTTCTGTTCTTTTAATGGATACAGACATAGAAAAAGCTTCTGATAAAGGCTATTTGAAGTTTTGTCGATTTATGTTAACCAATAGATTTTTTTTACTAAGCTAATGCCTTACTCATTACTATGAAATTTATTTAAGGAAATGATGATAAGTATGGTTTCTTTGAACTAGAAGACAATATTTCGTAATTTAAGGAGCGTTATTCTTCTTGATATGATTCAAGTTGTTGATGATTCTAATATTGAAAACTATTCGAGTCATATTACAGCTTATAAATTAAATCTAGCATTCAGTGTTACTTAATATCATTCTTTCTTAATTTGATACTTCACTGTATTATTTTGAAAATGAAAATAACAACGAGAAATATCGAAGGCAAAGTAATACTGATTAGTACTTCTGTAATGGTTACAAATGATTAAAATCTACATACCTGTCCGACCATTTATTTTTGTTATATTTGATCTTTTATTTCTCTCAAATATCGCAATCAGATGCATGCTGTACGATCTATATGATTGTAGGGATGCTTCACATATATTGACAAGGGCATAAATGATTTACTCTCTCTCTCTGTTTGAACTTTAATCTTATTAATATCTGCTGTTATCCAAATAATTTACATCCTCATTTTGAATAAAAAGAAATCAAAATCCCCGAGCAGAAAATTCACTCTGATTAATATTTATCTGAGAAAATTTTTTTCCTATTTCGACAATGTTTTTGTGCATTTTCTGTTCAGAATATTTTCTACTAACAAGCAATATTTAGACATCATTACACGTACAATATGTCTATACTGCTCACATGTCAATGTACTCAAATAAAACATTCCAAGCTCGTGATATAGTGGCTAGAAAGTTAATTTGCGTATTAATAACTGTAGATATATGCTTGTCTTGGCTGATTTTAAACGAAGTATTTGGAGATAACTGATATTAAAAAAAATAATAATATAGTTTTTATCGCACTATGTGGGAGCTAATGATGTCATCAGCGAAATCTTATCGAACATGCATTTTGCTCCCATCTGCTTGAAATCCCAGAGCACAACTAGAAAAATATTCTAATTCTTCAAACTTCGTTTTCACTTCTCATCTCTTCCATCCAATGATGCTTAACTACATGATAGTAACGTTTCTCGTTATAGTGGAGAAATTGGTGAGTTCGACTACACAGTTTTATCCTATGGTAAGCACAACTGCAAGATATCCAATATATACAGATCACGCTAATTATTCAACTGTTACATCAACAGCTTGGTACCAGAGAGAATCCACTACCACTAGATACCCTACAAAGTCATCAACTCAATGGTATACTGAATATCAAACTTCTACATCAACACCTTGGTATCAGAGAGATTCCACCACCACTAGGTACCTTACAAAGTCATCAACTCAATGGTATCCATGGTATACTGAATATCAAACTTCTACGTCAACACATTGGCACCAGAGAGAATCCACTACCACTAGATACCCTACAAAGTCATCAACTCAATGGTATACTGAATATCAAACTTCTACATCAACACCTTGGTACCAGAGAGATTCCACCACCACTAGGTACCCTACAAAGTCATCAACTCAATGGTATCCATGGTATACTGAATATCAAACTTCTACATCAACACCTTGGTACCAGAGAGAATCCACCACCACTAGATACCCTACACAGTCATCAACACCTTGGTACCAGAGAGAATCCACCACCACTAGATACCCTACACAGTCATCAACTCAACGGTATCCATGGTATACTGAATATCAAACTTCTACATCAACACCTTGGTACCAGAGAGAATCCACCACCACTAGATACCCTACACAGTCATCAACTCAACGGTATCCATGGTATACTGAATATCAAAATTCTACATCAACACCTGTAGCTGCTACTGAAGACTTTTATTGGACATCGACTTCGTCACAATATCCAAATGTGACTTGGCCTTCTTCTTACATAGCAGTCAAACCGTTCACAACCATTAGTATACCTCGAGCAAAAGATGTTGTGTTACAAGGTACTTCGGAACCTAGTGATTTCTCAGTTGAGTTTAACTGTGGTTCAAGTATGATGCATTATGTCTCAATCAATGTAACTAATATGACTTTGACCGTCGATTCAACAGGAGATTGTTCTATTACTATTCGTGCATACGAATTTCGAATCATTCAGATTGGAGCTGTCGTTAGTCTTACAACATCTGACTATTTGAAAGGTAATCAATTAACAATTGAAACAAGTGATGCATCTCAAATTACATTGAACAATATCACGTATGAGGTTGTTGAAGTTCTCCTGTTAAAAAGTAGTAATGTAACACTTTCGGGCTCAACTCAACAACTTCAGGTTATCCAACTAGGCCAAGGAACTTTTGACTCTCGTTCCCTTTCAACTGATCATGCTACACTGTTCACAAATAACTATGGTTTGGTAAAAATCAAATCTAATAATTATCTCTCATTATCAGTCGGTAGAATGGGTAATATTATTTGGTGTTCACCTTATGGAGATATTAAAACAGAACGCACAATGAACTACAATTCGCGTAATATTGTTTATCATTGTGATTGAAAGTCATTAAGCGATGTAAGAGTTTTTTCGATTTCTGAAATAAGAATAAAAACATAGAACACTTACCATACTACGAAAATAAAGAAAAGATACAAGAGAGAGTGACAGAGACAACGTAAAACATTATTCGAAATTAGTTTTATCTTTAGTGTACAATCATATTTATAAATTTAATATTTTTCTTTTGTTGATTCATTTCTAATTCAAAGTATTAAAGTACTTACAAGTTCTTTCATTTTTTGTTACCCTATGTTTCGACCGTTAGAAACATAAATTGTTATAGCGCGATCTGATTAAAAGACCTCCTGATGCCACATTCGCATTCGTGCAATATCAAAAATATTTGAATGTTTGATTGAAAAAGTACCATAGAAAAAAAAACTACTCTACATCTTAGAAAGCATAGATCTGATGGTTAATTTTTGATATCTCGACAAGTTATCATCGTTTCCATGGAAAATTTCTCATCGCTCAATTTATGAACATCACACTTCTAAGTAAACATATCCTGTCTCTTATCAATAAGTGAAAAGAAAAAACTCTATTAACAATTCATTGCAATTATTAATTTATTATCAACTAGAAAATCTTATCAGACATGAAAGAAAAACAAATTATCTACTATTACTAAAAGAAAATTGGAAGTTTTTTGTTTTGGCACCTCTAGGTAACTATCACGCAACTACAAATAGTCGTTAACAAATGAACTACTTGCTAATATTGTTTTGCATCACATTGCAGAAAAAAAACAAAAAAAAACGAAAACTACTATAATTATTATGAAAGAAAAATGGAATGTACATTGACAGCAACTAAAAGATCTATGCTTGTTAAATTGTTGTTGATAGATTTTAATTGCCATTAGCTTGATTCGAATCACTCGGTTCTGTTATTGGTGTTTCCGGTAAACAAGTTAAGTCAAAATTTGCTGTTGGATCAGCCATTGTAAATTGATATGATTGCATTGAAGGCATACATGGTGCTCGAAGAGGAGCAGCTTTCTAAATGAAAATAAGAAAATAGATTTCTTCTTCAGAAAAAAAAAATATTTTGCAATCTTACTGGTATATTTAAAGGTTGTTTTAAATTCAGACCAGTTGTTTTTAATATTTCTTGTTCATCGGGAAAATCATCATCATCCGATATTTGATATTCATCATATACTGTTTTTTTATTTTTTTGTTTTGAATTATTGTTACCATCCTTTTTTGTTCCGTCTAATTTAAGGATTACAAACAACACAATGAAGTTATATTTAAAGAGAAAATGAACTATTGAGGAAACTTTTCTAAGTTTCAAATCGTCTTTCAGTTGGAACTATGTGCATCACGTAGATGATTGGTATTGAGATAATGTATGTTTCGGCAGAATACTGTGTTGCTCCTCAAGAAAAAAGAGTTTTGAATTTCGACGTAAAACTTTGCATAGAGACGAGCCCTAATGAGAATAACTTATTGTGAAAGTTTCAGAGTTTTTTGATTTCAGTGATGTAGAAATTAGAATATTGGAATCTATCGTAGTGTATAAGCGGCATAAAAAATATGCTTTTAACCATAACCACATCTTAGGATAGAAGCAATAGAAAAATCCTGAAACTTTTACAATAAGTTATTCTCGTTAAGGCCTGTCTCTATGCAAAGTTTCAAATCAACATTCGAAACTCAGTTTTCCTGATGGATACCATGGCATCCTGCTAAAAAAATGCACATTCTCGGCAGTAATAATCTATTAACCTGAGTTATTTTCAGGGTATTCATAGCTTATTAGAACCTATATAATGCACATAATTTCGACTTAAAAGTTATGTGGCACTTAGAAACATTCTCGTTAATTTCACATACCTGAACTTTTATCTTTTGTTGCATCTTCTTCATTTTCTTCTTGTTCTTCGTCGTCATCTTCATCTCCAACTAATTTTTTAATATGAGATGTTATGCTTGTTCGTGTTGTACCTTTTCCTTGAGAAAACAATCGACGTTTATGTGCTAATTTTTCATAATCATCATCTTCGTCGACAGATGATTCATTACTAACACGTCGTCTTTTATAAGGTCTACGTGCTGGTTCTGCAGGATGACCATTGTCCTCTTCATCACTGATATTTTCTTGTTGAATTAAAGTTTTCTTTTTTGTAGCTGCTGCTCGTCGTGGTCGTCGTGGTTTAGGAGTCTTAGCAGCTTCATTTTTATTAGTTGCATTTTCAACAACTGGAGTTTTATCGACTGTAGTATTAACAACTGAATTGTTAACAGTTGGAGTTTTATCAAACGAATTATTAACAACTGGACGTTTATCAAATACATTTCTAGCAATTTCATTAGAACCAATTATATTTTTATCATATTCAATTGTTGGTTCAGTTTTTATTTTGATTTCTGGTCGTAGATTGTTAAGATTAGCTTCAGAAACTTGATAAAAAAAAGAAATATTTCAATTATTGTCATAGATTGAACACTTTATAAAAAAAAAACCTTCTAAAATCTCTTTTGCTCATTTGGCAAAGTTCCTAGTGTGAAAACCTAGGGTTTCGAACTATCTTACAAATTCTTGTGTATCGTTATGACTGATTTGTTAACATGATAGAAAGCGAACTGTGTCCACTCTAGCACTACCGGTGTCATAGGTTTTCTTAGAAAAGATAGATGAAGCGTACTGATTTTTCTCAATTTACTGGAAAAATTATGGCTATTATTTTTCATGAGAAAAATAATAGATATTTGATCTTCATTCTTTTATACACAGTTCAGAGAAGTATGTTTAAGTAATTAACTTCATATAAAGTAAACTACTCTCATACGTCTAATGTCATTGGCTTCGTAATCTTTTGAAATATCTTTTCTATTAACGAACACTTCATTTCAAATGATCTGCGAGATAAGTACACAACTGGTCATTTACTCTTCTTTCACATTCACTGTAATATATTGCGATTAGTATCTTTTGTCACCGACATGTACTAACAGTAGATACGAATTCATAAACCAAAACATATATTGATCAATCCCTTTTTTTTTTATAATACCAGCAGTTTCATTATGTTGCATATATTGATCCCACAAGGATTACGCTGATAACTATTCCACCAGCTGAGAATTAAAACATTGTTCTCATTCCGTTGAATCCCGTAAGAACTGTATAGAATGAAGTAAACTTTAAAAATTTTCTAGTTTATTAGCTTTCGAACATGTTTTCTTAGAATCGATGATACAGTTATACATACGAATGCTATCTTCATCTGATCTTATTGTTGATTTTCGTTGATTGTTACGATTGGATCTTGTTAAAGAAAAAAATATCCAAAATTAATAAAACTAAAATATAATTATCATACTTTGTTTTCGTTTTCTTTTTTGGTTTTGATGATGTTGATGGTTGTTGTCGATTTCTCCAAGCTTTATCATCATCACTCATACCAAAATCATCATTATCATCATAATCTCTTGCATCACTTCGGCTATCATCGTTTATAGTTCTAAATTGGAAACAATAGATTCTTTTTTTCTAAGAAGAAAATAAATTTTCTATAAATACATACGGTTGTCGATTAGGTACAAAATCATCATAATCTCTTGCACTTCGACTATCATCGTTTACAGTTCTAAATTGAAAATAAAAGATTCATTTTGTTTTTTGAAAGAAAATAAATTTCCTATAAATACATACAAACGATGATTAGATAGAAAACTATCATTATCTCTTGTATTACTTCGGCTATCATCATTTATAGTTCTAAATTGAAACCAGAAAAAAGAGAAGATTCTGTTTTAGAAGAAAACAAATCTCCTATTAATACATACCGACGTCGACTAGGTAAATATTCATCATTCTTTTTGCTATCTGAGGCATCAAAATCATCATCAAATTCATAACGGCGACGTTTTTTTGGTTGTCTTCTTTTCAGAATGATTTCATCCGAATCATCTATATAAATAAATTTTATGATTCAAAAAAAAAAAAAAGAAAAGCTTTCGAAAGTAATAAACAATTTTTAGTTAAATACTATCTGAATAGTTTGTATGTATTAGAAGTGTTGACGAGCTAACTCGTGGCCCGTGCGCGATTTGAACCTGTGACTGATCGCAGGTTAGATATGTATTCACAGGTTCAACTTATTTACAAATTTTCCTATTCATTCTTTCGCTCAACATATAGTTCAATTCACTGTTCATGTCATTTCTTGGTTCCTTCATTGATTTAGTTGCTTTTACAAGTTCTTTCGTTATTTATCATCTAGATTCTTTCTATCAAATGGTCTCATTACATATTCGTTCTAATCATTCATCACACTTGCTTTGAAGCATATACACATGTCAATGCACTTTGGGTGTAAGTCTTCTCTTAGACGCATCAAACCACAAACCCATACTCGTACAAGACGAAGTTTATTGAATAATATATTATGACTTCGTCCAATGTATAAAATAGGGATGAAACTAACCAGTAGCTCATAAAGAATAGGACACTTTTATTTCATTGCTTTGAACAGTTCAAACATAATTCAGAGAGTTCGTTCTGACCTTATTCTATAGAGAATTTTTCGTGCTGCAAAGTCGTATATTTTATTTAGAAAATATATTCACAATCGTTCGGTAAAATACAATAAATCTTTTTAGTTCAACAATCAATACTGTGACGAACAACATCAGGTCGAATTTTTTTTTTTTTACATCAGCCCAAATTTGATCAATTAAGCTTTTTTAATTGGTTTCTGTATCACAGTTCATCTGATCATGCAATTCGTCCTTGATCGTGTAATCGATGGGATTAAGATCGAGGTTGTTAGGCAGCCAAAAATCTCGGAAATGATTTTCGCACCATGTTTGAGTGTGATAATCACTGTGTGGCCGCGTCACATCTCGACGAAATGTGAATTTCTTTCTCATTAACTTTCGGTCATCTTGCAATGCGATTGGCAATATTTCATCAATATAACATTGTTGATACCTTCCTCAATAATAACAGAACGAGTGGCGCCATTGCAACACGCTCCTAACCATATCATTCAAGAAAACTGCCCCATTCTTTATGAACCATCCGTTAAATATTTTACTAATAAAATTTATATTAACCCTCTGGTTGAAGAAACAAAACATACAACTCGTTAGGCGGATTGGGTCAAAACATCCTAGTCATCAACATTCGTGGTATGTATCTTGTGTCTGTTAATAGAGAGTGATATTGAAAATGCAATATCATTCGTAAAGATTTTCTTAACAAATAAAAATATCTTATGTATTATGAAATCATTTACCTGAATCATCTTCAACTAATTCTTTATTAACTCCAGCATCAATCATAGCTTCTTTAATTTTTTTATCATAATCATCAAAAGAATAATTTTTTGCTTTTCGTCGACATGATCTTACACGACGTTTTCCTGTTTGTTCTTGTTCTTGTTCTTGTTTTTGATCCGATGGTTTTCGGTTTTCATCATTTTTACGTCCATAAACACTATCATCATCGTCATCATCATCATTTTTATTAATATTATTATTATTATTTGCTGAATCAGTTTTCTTTTCATTTATTTCTTCTTTTTCTTTTTCTTCTTCTTCTTCATCATCATCACTTGAAATAATACCATTTCTTTGATGTTCATTTGTTGATTGTTTAACATAACGTTCAAGATTAACAGCAACATTTGTTAAACGTTTTCTTCGTTTTGATACATATAATCGACGTTTCATTTCATATTCTTCTTGATCTTTTATAAGTATAAGCAATTTTTCAATTAAACCATCACATAAACGTTTATGTTCACATAATGGACAATACCAAATATCATTTGGTATTGATAATAATTCAGGGTTAAGACATTCTAAATGATATGCATTATCACAATCTTCACATAATAATAAAGATTCTGGACGATAGCTCTGTAAACATATAGAACATGCTGTTAATGGTCTTTGAAATTGTTCATGACATTGTGCAACAGTTTTAGCTTGACGATGAGAAATATAATCATCATCATCATCTTCTTCTTCTAATAAATCTCCATTAAGAAGTATATCTATTTCTGTTTTATCCGGTAAATAATCATCAGAAAGATCATCATCATTATATAGTTGATGTTCATCCGAAGTTGACGATGAATTTTCATCCATTAATGTTTTACCACGACGACGATTACGTTGACGGCGACCATTTGTTTTAAATGTTTGACTTGGACTTTTCCATCGTTCATTAACAGATTTCTTTCTTCTTGAACTCTAGAAAAGAATAAATAATTAACATAAAAGAAATACAATAGCTGATAGTTATTTGCATTGTGATCAAGAATTCTTCTTTATAGTCTTTAAAATAGAATGAATGAAACACTAAAGTATTTTTCGTCGTATGTTAAAATTGAATAATTTATATAGCTTTTCTTTTCCTATATCTTCTTCTAATGTTTAACTGTACTAAGTGATACTACCATTTTAATTGTTATTGTAAATAATTCAAATATTTCTTCTTTTTTAATAGTATGGTCTTTTCAAAGTGTTGATGAATTATGTTTTGAGCTTGCTTCTATCATATAAAATGGAATACATGGATTAATCAAAATATAAAACTTAGAGAATTCCTAAAACTTATTGCCCGTCTGTTTTCAATCAGCATAAATTTTTTATACTAATAGTTATAACGATATTCAACATTACATGAATTAAATAAATGTATACAAGCAATTACGATAGACGTATACCTTAAAACATTGCCAATGAGAAATAAATTTATTACGGAAATCAATAATTCTCAACGAAGGTTCCATACAAAATATAATAGAAGGATATAATAACTACAACATATGAAAAAATCTATAATGCCAAAGACTTAGAACGAAGTATTTGCTATTTTCGAATGTATGATCAGATTTTTCTTCTCAAATAACATTGAACAACTATGAGTAAATTTTGTGAAAAAGTTCAAATAGTGTCGATGCAAAGCAAAATATCAGTTTTGACCGAACCCTTAGTTTATGCCTGAGAACAGCTTCGACTTAAAATTACTGAATTCTGTATAAAATAACATATTACAATAAGCGAAATCTCATCTATGCGTTTATATACTTAAGAGTTAGTTTCTATGGAAAACAGCATTGGTCAAAAAAAAACAATCGCTATTTCAAAAACTGCTTTTTAAAATAGAAACGTTTTAGAAGTCTATCATGTGGTGTCAGAAATTATATTTATGCTAATATAATGAATCTGTTAAGTTGAATAAACCATTTCTAAGTGTCACTTGTGAATCTATTTTGAAATAGTCAAGTTTCTTTTTTTTAAACAACTAAAAGAAAGAAATGATTGTCATCGGATGATATATTTTAAAAATGTTTCGTAAAATTAAATAGAATATATCCTTACTCGTGAAGCAGATTTGCTTGTACTTGATGAAGTTGGAGAAAGTTCAGCTATAAATGGTTTACGACCACGTCTTGATCGACGTAATGCAATAGGTAAATCAGTATTATTTGTTGAATCTTTCTTAGTTGGAATATGGTGAGAATCTTGACTAGCATCATCATGTTTTTCATTATCTTCTATATCACTTTCACTATCATCATAATCTACAAGTTTACGTTTTATTCCTTGTTCTAATGATGATTTTAATATAACAGCTGGTACACTATCATCATCATTTTTTGATGTTACATGTTGATCTTGAAATTTTTCTATTGTATTTTCTATATCTTCATATTTATAACAATAATTTGTATTATTATAAATTGAATCTTGTGAAAAATCAGAAGAATATATTTGATCTCTTGTATCATTTACTGATGAAATACTTAAACGATTAGGTTTAATTTCACTTGAATTTGGTGATTCATTATCAGATGTTATATCTTTAAATATAATTTCAAAAATAAAAAGTTTCAAAATTATAAAAACAAACCTATATCATTTTTTTTTTCAATATTGTCTGTCTTAAAAGGTGATGATATTGATGGTGAAGATGGTAAATCTCGATTAAGATTAACAACTGGCTCGAAATCAACGTCTTCTGTTTTGATAATATCTTTAAAATAGAATAATATCGAAACTCTTTGTTTTTTTCACTTTCTTCTACTTGTTTTTTATTTTTTACCTGAATGAAATAGTACTAATGAAGAACATAATTCGTCTATAAGTTCATTTTTATGTTTATTATCTGATAAATTTAATGAATAACGTTCTTCAAATTCATTTGATGATGATAAACAATTAAATGATTCATAAGAAAATTTCCATTCTAGATTAATTTATTTGTATTATTAGAAAATAATTAAGTAAAAAAGAAGAATTTTACCAGGAAATTTTTTTCGTACAACATGATCAGTTATAAGAAGTTTTATGAGATTTTCTAATTCACTTTGATTTCTAGATCAAAATAAAAATATGAATGAATATATAAGAAATAAATTTAATTTTACTTTGCTAGATTTATCCATGTATGTTTATTATCAATATTTTCACGAAATAAACGTATAAAACAATTAGTGTCCTATAAGAAAAAAAAAAAGAATTAATGATACCATCTCGAGTTCGATATGCATACGCATCAAACACAAAATACTGAAGAGATTATTCTATAACTCGTCCGAACTTTTTCTGGATATTTTCAACTAATATAAGAAAAGCGAATATGAACTTATGTTCATTTCATCGAAAACTGATCGATCTTATAGGTTTTTTTGATAACTTACACATGACACAATGATATTAGTACAGTTTAAAAAAAAAATACATTATCGATTGCTGTGAGAAACCTTTGAAAGATTTCTGACACGGCACGTCCGTCAACTAGTAAATCGCTTTTAATTCGAGACTATGTGCATTATGTAGACCCAAATGACATATGAATATTTTGAAGAAGAGATCGTACCCTTAGCTTATTGCTACGAAGATGATGCAGTTTTAAGATATTTCTTAAATGAGTGCTGTGATCCAGAAATCTAATTTTCGAATTTCAAGTTGAAACAACTCTTAACGAGGATAGTTTATTGTGAAAGTTTCAAGTCTTTTAATTTGTTTCTATCCTGAAATACGAGCATAAAATCTGCTGGTTTATATGAGTACTGTAAAAGACACTCTATTACCATAGTGTATCTTAGAAAAGGAATAGCCACAAAATCTGAAATTTTCACAATAAACTCTCCTCGTCAAGACTTACCTCTATGCAAAGTTTCAAGTCGAAATTCGAATATCAGTTTTTGTGGATTACAGCATTTATTTAAAAAATACCCTAATAGTGCAGTATCTCGGCAGTAATAACCTAAGGGCACAAACTCTTTTCAGGGCATTCATGATTTATTTGGCTCTACATAATACACTTTGTCTCGTTTCACAAGTGATTCATAAGTTAGAGAAATTCCTTCGTGAGCTAAAACTAAGCAAGTACAAAATTAATGACTATAGAGTTTTTTATTTTACACTACATCTGATGTTAAATTTTTTTGGTGCCTTCCGCATCTCCAAGGCCACTGACTTTTTTTAGGACATAGAGCCGATTGTCTTTTTTATTTTAAAGACCCTTGGGACTAGTGACAATCATCGCCCTTTTTTTTTCATTTTCTTCCTTTTCTTATTCTTTTAGTCATCTGTCAGGTGGAAAGCCTGAGAAAAAATGCAAAACTCTATGAAAACAGCAGAATTTCGTAACAAAATACTGAATAACGAAAATATTTTTTCTTTGTTTAAGCCTTTTTGTAAAAAACAAAAAAAAAGGGTCACAATAGTCGCTAGTCCTGAACACGAGCTTTCCAATAAAAAAGAATTATTGGCTACAACAAAGCTCCTGCGAGAATTCTAGGATGCACAATTAAAAACCTATAAAGCGAGAAAAAAAACAAAAAGAGTTTCAGTTTTTTTCGAAAATAACTTATTTTTTGAGTCAAAATGTTGGCCGTTTATGAGAGATCAGAGCACGGCTCCTGTTCTCCCGCATTTATCTAAATTTCGATTATTTTCATGAAAAGTGACTTTTTTTTCGGAGGAAGGCTTAAACTAAGCAATCAATTGATTTTGATTATTGTACATCTAGTTTAATTTATACAAGGCAGGAATAGGATCACTTCAATGGTAGAGTCGCGCTTTTTCTTCGTTAAATATACACCACTTTAACTTTACTGTTCTATCTAGAGCTGTACGAAGCCAACATTTAACGTTTAATTGCCACCATAGAAAAGAAAAACCGCCGAGATCGCGGGCGGAACTGTAGATTATAGTTAAATATTCTGTGGTTTTTAAGCAAATTATCTTATAAATAGTATCAATCAGAACAATAGAAATGAGTTCTGGAATCGTTTTCTTAGACGGGGACCGATATTCGAAAGCTTAAAACTACCGTGACCATACCTTATGGAAAAAAATATGCGGTGCCCAACCGGCGTACACCTATAGTTCTATCGTATTGTTCATGTTCTTTTTAATACTAACTTCTGAATGGCTCTATAAAATGACAGAAATGTAGAATTCGGCAAATTCAAAAACAAAACGAATATTTTCCTTATAATTTTGGCTTTAAAATTTTTAATTTTATTACCGTAAATAACCAATATGATGCGCCAAATCGATCTCGACCAAATGGTTTTGAACGTATTTCAATTGATGATTTATTAGCAGCAAAATTCTTCAACGTTTGATCACAATCAAATTGTTTTTCTAATAAATTCTATAATAAAAATTTTGAAAGAAATTTTTCTTGAAAACAAATAAAACAAAGACAAAAGAATTTATTTACTTTTAAAACTCGAAGTTTAACTTCAACAGTTGATTTTGAATATCCATGTTCATCTAAGTAATTTCCATCGTCACGATTAAAACGATACGCAAACTAAACATATAGAAGAATCACTTCAAAAAAAGCAAAACAAAAGCATCATTCACATCTTTACCTTTGTTATACATGAAACAAATTGTTCTCTTTTAATTGTTTTACCTGTTGAAACTTTTTTAAGTAAAGCAAGATGAAAATCAATGAACCGTCCACTAACTATACAAACGAGAAAGAAAAAGGTTTTTCTTGAAAGAAAAAAAAAATTAATTTTTATTCTTACGCTTTTCTTGTTCATTTATTAGATTATCCTCAAGTATGCGTAAGGGATAATTTTTCATTTTTATATATGAACGAAATTTTTCGATAAAACACAGAATAACACCATAATCCGGATTATTTAATAAATTTAAACGTCGTTGATCACGTTTTAAACAAGGTTTTTCTTTGTCGTCTTCATCTAATGATGATGCGTCATCAAAAGGATCGACACCATTTAATATCATTTCAACATCAGATTCAGTTAATATTGGTAATGAAATAACTAATTCTTTTTTTAATATTTCCGGATCTATGAACATTGAATCATCATTTTCTACATCCATGCTTTTACCGTCTCTTTATTTGGCCTTGGTTAAACTTTCTATATGATCAATCAATCACTCAAATAATCAATCGTTCATTGGTTTGAACACTAAGTCTTTGTTTCATTAACGTGACAATATGTGGCACCATCTAGACCAAAAATATTTTAAAATCAATATTTGTTTTTTTATTATTATGGATTCGACAAATTTTCAAAGTTTTTTTTTCATGACCTTGAGAAGGAAATATCATAGAAAGAAACTTCTGATTTTAATAAGATGTCCGCAATGTGTGATGACTTACATTGATAAGCATATTGAAGAGTTAGTAATGCACTTAATTTCAATGTATATTTTGATATATTTTATACGAGAATCAATCAATGAACGCTTTTTTCAAATTGACCTTGTAAACATACGCATACGTTACACCAACCGTACTAATAAAATGAAACGATTTTTAATAGCAGAGTCATCTCCCGCTTTGAATCAATTATTTTATCTGATGATCATTTTCATAAGTCAATAATATTAATAATACGCTTCCATATGAACAAAATTGGCGAGTTGGTACTAAGGGTGATCAAAACATGTTGACCTTTCTCCCTGTAAATTGATGTTATTTATAAAAATACATAGATGTAGATTGTTGACTGAAATACACAGTTTTGTAGAAAAAAGTTAAGACTAATATCTGAAAAGAAAATATTTCGAATTCTATCAAGACTACCCAAGCAGACAGAAACATGGAAAAATGCGTTTCTTTCATTTTTCTAAGCAGCATGAATGGATCACAATCACGATTTCATTTTGAGCGCTTAAACGCGTTTTTCCAAATTTTTGTCTGCTTGGGTAGAGCCTGTCGAGTGCAAAATTTTCGGAGTCAAATCCGTTTTATTTCTATTCGGTGACTAGTCCATCCTTTTTGGGTTCGGGACCAACTCGATAGGCTCTAATCGAGATTATGAAAATTTATGGTTTCTTTCGTTGAACATGACTAAGTATTTTACGTCTTGTATTTTTCGGCACAAACAAAAAAAAACATTCATGTAATGTCCGAGTGATTAAAGTTGAGCGAAATATTCATTTCTAGATGTTTTTACATAGTTCGATAAGCTCTTCAAGAATATGAATATCAAAAAAGAAATTTCTGATCCTGTTTCCAATACAATATATGGAGAAAATCAGACAGACTAATAAAAACTTCAGATATTCTGCACAAGAGAATATACTTAACCTTCAATAGCATTAGTTGCTCGGTTGATAATTGATTTATCGAGATGTAATATCACATACTGAAGCTGAAAATAACTTTTCCGAGCTACATGAACAGTATATCAAATAAAGTTATTGGAAGCTCAGATTGCTTTCTCCATTGCTGGATGCATGAAATTTTTATTAGTTTTTCTACAATATTCATATTCTTGTAGAGCTTGTCAAAGTTTATCTATCTATATAAAAATCGCTAGAAAACAATATGTTGCTTCAAAAGTGTACAAACATAATTTATTTTTGCAAAAGATATAAGATATAAAATATGTAGTGATAATCAATAAAGCAACTAGAAATTTTCATGACAACAATGCATTTCAAGCTGTTATCTGTTGAAATTATAGCTTTAATGTTTCTCTAAAAAACTGTATTTCAGTCAACTATATATATATATGTATTTATATAGATAACATTAATTTACAGACAAGATTCGAAACTTTTGGATCAGTATTGATTGGAATATCTAGATTGAATCTATCTTTTGTAAAATCTTTTTCATTCACATAATGAAAATATATTACTGTTATACTTGAAATGCTATTAAATTTCATAAGACCAAACAGATAGACTTGTCATAAGTGTGGCCTGTCTGTGACGTTGGATTTAGTTTTTTCACATAATAATAATTGATGATCATGAGATTGAAACCAAAAAAAATTGTTTTATCATCAAGTAAGAAAATCATATATACCGAAACTATACGACTATACAAAATAGATATTGAAGCAATAATTCATGCATTTACCGAAAATAGACGAAAACAACAAAACTTTTACATTTAGAAAAAAAACTATTTTGAATACCAATGTTTTAAATAATCTACTTGAAGAAACCGTTTCAAATTCTACCATATTACGAAAATGTAGCTATGACAAAATAAGATTTAGTCAGCAATTCATATAAAATAATGATACTAATTACAACGTATAGACAATGATTTCGAGTATCAGATAAACGAATTTAATAAAACAATGAGCAATGTACTCCCCACCTATAATTAGCCATAATCGTGTTCGATCGAAATGATAGAAATAGTCATTTATCATCTTTCAATGGAAAAGATATTCAACTGTACATTTCCTTCTAAAAAAAAAGCAAAGCTTTATGTTACAAATTTAGATTAGAAACATCATAGACAAACAAGCTCAATGAACCATTTGAAACTAGAATAGATACATGAAAATTCTGTTCCACGTAAACTATGATATTAATTGTAGTCTACAGTAATGAACGATAAATCATATATGAACGTTATATTTACCTGGACTATCATTAATTAAATGCATGTGTGATACAAACGAATCAGACAAAAATATTTTGATATAGTCGGTCAACGAAACAAAAAAAAAGAATTATCTTTGTTTTACAATACAGCAGATATCTAAAATATGACATATACATATTTGAATGAAATCTATACACGATAGTCGAATAAAAAGAATTCGATATATTCATGCCATCCCAATAATGGTATGTGTGTTCGATGATATGATTCTTAAGAAACATATTCAAGATATTTTCATACAATCTCATTGTATTTTCTACTGATATGGTAGAAGTGTAGCCGAACGGATTTTAGTACTTTTGATTTTCAAGGCTCAATCTAGCTCAATTACATATAGAATAAACTGTAAAAAGCTCCCGATCATTTTGATGATTAACACCGATGAAAAGTGTGAGCATTCATTTTGTTCGAAAATAAATAGAGATGCGGAGCGTTTCAAAATTATTTTCATATGCTTTTCTATAAACTATACATTTCTGTTCAAATCATTGATTTAAAATACTCTTTCATTTTCGTCAACATCTTCCACTTCTTAGAATGTGATTTTATACTTCAAATGTATTGTACACGAATTACAATTATATGTCTAATTTTCTATCAAAATAGTTACTCTGAAGAATCTTAAAAGGTGGGTAACTCACAACAAAATGCTATGCTCACTCTTCTTCAGACATAGTTTTTGACTAATATTCGATGTTTTTCGGATTGAATGATCTTCATTTGACTTCATACAAATTTCATATTAAGAATCAACACAAAACTCTGAGCCAATTTATTTACATTCCAATTTTTTCTGTCTACAAGCTTGTCTTTCGATAAAATTTTTGCTCCTAGTCCAACTCAGAAATATGTGAGAAATAAATGCGAAAACCTCGGATTTAAATCCGAGTGTTATGTGTACTGCGAAAAGTGAAGAGATATATTCACTGTTTTCTATCAACTGAGCCATATTTAGCCTATTTGCTTTTTGCATGCAGTTTTTCTGCATTTTGAGACATTTTTCATGGGATGTTTTGTTAGAAAGCTACGATTTGGTTCAAAATTAATATCAGATTCGGAATCAGCGTTAAAAACTGAGTCGATTTATATATGTTGTGAATAATTCTGAGAAAAAAATTTTTTTTTGAAAAAATCCCCGTCCCCCCCCC